AATATATTTCATTTTAACTTAAAGAAATAATCGTGTTTGTTATATTTTAATTTTTTTCTTCTTTTAATTAATTCATTAATTATCATTTTTTATATTTAAAATTTATTTTAACTGCAAATAATAATTTAATAATTATAGCACAAATACCTTTAATCTATATCTTTGGAAAAAGAAAAGCAAGGATAAAAATGATATTATACACTTTGCACCATTTTGGTGCAAAGTGAACAGTGTTGCACCATATTCATTTTGCACAATTTACACCAAAATTTGGTGCATTTTGGTGAAATGGTGCGTACATTGGAGATGGCCTAAATGCAAGGAGAATGAACTACAGAGCGTGGATGAATTAACCAGACAACTTAAAGTCAAAGTCATTTTAGCATAAACACTGCTAATTTGGGGAGGGAAATTTCCTCCTGACTAGCAAAAATCAGATAGTGGCGGTGACAGTGGCTTCTAGATGTAAAAAGGAGAATGACTTGGAATGAGATCTGTAGCAACGTCAATTGGGAGTGGTTGTTTCCGGTGGTTAGTTGAACAAGTGGATAATTTGGGTTTTTTACCCCCTTAATTTTGTGTCTTTTATTATTTTTTGGGTAATTATATTAACACAACAATTTTTATTTCTTGCAACATATTTTAATTGCACTCAAGGTTCCTAATCTTTACTCATTATAACACTTATGTTCCTAACAATTTTTCATATTGTTCTTACCCTCAAACTTTTCATTAGTCAATACATTTTGTATTTGATAACAATTTTAAATCTAAAAGTCAATTTAAATGACTTAAATTAATTTATTTTTCCATCATATTTTTAATATATATATATATATATATATATATTAAAAATATGATGGAAAAATATTATTGTTACTTTTTCCTCTCAATTAATTAATTTTTTTAAAAAATAATCTAATAAATTTGTTAATAAAATTTTTGACATCATTAAAAAAAAATTAATTGATCGAGAGGAAAAGATAACAACAATAATAAAAATCCTAAAAATGATTGAATTTTTTTATATATAATTTTTTTTAGATATAAAAATAGTATAACAATTTATAATCCATATGAAGTAATAAAAATTTTATTAAGAATTTTTACATCCAAAAAAAAAATTAACGTCATACCACATAAAATTTACTAATAAAATGATGTAAATTATATTGAAAAAAATTTCGCGCAAAAATAATAAACATTAATAAAATAATAATTTTTTTTTGAAAAAATAAGAGTTATACCTTTCTTTTTAACATACACGTTTAACGTATGTTTAACTATTTTCGATATTCATTCAGATCATTCGATATGTTTATGATATAGTTCTCAAAATGAGTTTCGAAAGAATATAGAAGATTTATAGATATGGCTAGAGTATAATCGTTGAAAAATTCTTAAAGTTTGCTTGTTATCGAAATTCTCGAAATATTAGTTTAGAACTGCCTATTTTGATGTGTCATAACATTTGTTATGATTGGTCATTTCACACAACATTAATGACTTGAAAATAATAGGTTGTGAGTACTTAAAAATGATATTAAGAATGTAATATTTTAATTTTGTTTGCTATTTCATAGTGGCCCGAAAACTAGGACAACAAAAAAAAATAAAAAATAAAAACACTTGAAAAAACTGGAGGGTCAAGTGACCCTAAGGGGACTCCCCGTGGGTCTGGCCCTGAATGTGGTGTATTAAACAAAAATATGATGGAAATATAACCACTCTTATTTTTTATTTAAAGATAAAGGGCAATTTTATCTTTTTGAAATATATTTATATATGAAACTTATTTTTGATGTTTTAAAAATTGGAGACAAAAAAAAAAATGGAATTGCTCAAAGGTGGAGTCGGAAAGATATATTAGGGTGAGCTGAAATATACGCTCTATGTCGCACAAGATTTAGTTAAAATGTTAAATTCATGACATTTTTGACAAAGTGCGTCGAAATATATTTTTGGACACTCATGACAAAGTTCTAACAAATATATTTTTAACTAATAAAATTAAATATAGAGTATATTACTTATATTTCGATAATAACATTCATTTCGTGGTCAAAATAAATAAATTTTTAACTCATAAGTATAAATAAGTAATATATAAAAAATACATTTGAAAAAATTTAATTACTTTTAAGGTTAATCAAACATCTGGCATCTCATATTGTTAAAATAAGTCATTTATCTTTACTTTAATCAATAAAAGTTATTTGTTATTTAATAAACTAATTCGATTATAATTGAACTCTTTAAACTTAGTTAAATATGTATGAAATAAAGTATCTAATCTGATAATATGTTATTTGTATATCATGAATGTGAATAAAATATATGTGTAATTGTTGTAGAGTCTTAAATTAAATTTGAATAATTAAACATTGGACTTGGGTTGGAAATGAAGTTAGTTAAGCTAAACTTAATTTTGTTGGGGTAGATCTCTTATTCTTTTGGAAAAATTACCTAAAACCTTACATATAAAGTATACTATTTAAAAATAAGGGGGATTAGTTTTAATTTCAAAAATCAGGAGATGATGAAGATTAATAGATTAATTAATATATATTTAAATCATGTTCAACCATACATTCCATCCCATGCATCCTATCTTATTGCTTAAATTGAAATATCCCCTAATCAATTCACTTGTTGGCCACTGAAGTCCCCCCCCCCCCTCTCTCCACACACACGCACATACCGATAGCTTCAACACATCGTTCTCATGGACATCGAGATGTTAACAATAGATAATGTCAGATTAGGGTCGTACAAGCAGATCCAACTCCTTTGCGTTGCTTATGCTTTGGGGTGATTTCTTGAGATGGTGGTTGGAGGGTGTGATTGATTTAAGGTGGAGGTGTAAATGATGGTATAGTGATTGTTGTTGTGGATTTGAAGTCAAGGTAGTATTTATGGTTGCAGATTGAGTTGAAGGCGGTACTAGTGGTGCATTGAAGGTGGTGGTAACTTGTGGTGGAATGCGGGGTGTGCGAATTTGTTCGTGGTGACCTTCTATGACCATGCATGTGTTAGTTGTGATCACGTTTGTCTTTATGGTGACTACCAATCAATAGATTTGTTCTAATTTTGACTATGTGTGACCAAATTAATAGTAGTTACATACAGTTACAGTTATAGACTGATTTGGTCACAAACAGCTACGTTGAATACAAATTTGATCACAGTTAATCACAAATAACATAGGTTAATGAATTGGTTATATACAATTACAAATTAAACGATCACATATAGTCACAGCAAAAACAAATTTGATCACAAATACTCACATAAAACAAATATATATTTACAAACAATAAATTTGGTTACAAGTAAATTTTTGTAGATTTTTCTATAATGGAGTATAGAGAGAAAATTTGTTTTCAATTTTTGAAGATGTTTCTATCACCGGAGTTGGAGCAGTAATTGGAGTGACAGCAGGAGTAGTTGTAGAAGAGGTAGTCAGAGTGATCGCCAGAGAGGTCGTCGAAACCAATGGCCTCTTCCGATGAGGAGAAGAGGTAGAGAGAAGACAAAGGGTAGAGAGAAAGAGAATGGTTTGGATTTGAAATTTGGTGTAATTAATTATATTATATTATATTATAATTACAACTTTAGAGGATGTTTGAACCCCATTTTTATGAAAAAAATGTAGTTTAAAATAGTAGATTGATGAAAAATATGTGGATGAAAAATAAGAATTTTTTTATTTACGTGTAATATTATTTTAATAAAAAATGTATGGTTAAAAGGAATAGAGAGAAAAATATATTTAAGAAAAAATAGGAATCAAACAAAGCCTTATAATAAATTGATTTACCACCTGATTTTTGAAAAGTTTTATGGAGTATGTATACAATGTACACTTTGTCAAACTAATTGACTTTTTTTTGACGAAATTCTTTAGAAAAATGACAAAATTCTGTCAAAAATGCAAAGATTTAGGACCACACGGGTCAAGTTTGAAAGGTGTGAATAAAAAATACAAGATGAACATCTATAGGGAACTATTTGCACCAATTTTTCAATTGGTTATTAGAAAATCTCTTTTTATTTTATTAGTCACTGAAATTATTATTCCCTATTTAGTAGAAATTTTATAGATTAGATTTTGTTAAAATTAATTTTTTAAAGAATGCATAGTTAAAAATTTAAAAAATATATATTATGAAATCACCTGTGAAATTATTTTATTTAAAGAATTTGAAGTGAAAAATAAATTGGTTAAAAATTAGTTTTTAAAAATATCTATTGGTGCAAAAAAAAATGACGGCGGTTAGTCCATACAAAAATGTTTCTATTTTATTGGCCCGAAGAATTTCCCACGTCAAAGAGTCCTTTTCAACCACGTAGTTAAAGAGATAAACAGCTGAACAATTTCTCCGGTATCAACGTTGCATCAAAGGGTTGTACCTATCCAACTCTAATTGTATTTACAGGATCACAAAATTCCAACCTATGATTGCAGAGAAATAGAGGAGGGACGCTCAACAATTGGGTTTAAGAAATTGTTTATTCGCATGATAGATTAATTTTATATTTTTTGCCCAAGGAAAGTATGGCATCGATGAGTTCTGTGGAGTTGAATTACCTCATTTTTCGTTATCTCCATGAATCAGGTATTCTTCCCCTGTTTTTCCTCTCTATATCAGGATTTGATACCAACGGTTTGCAGGTCTTCGATTAGCATTTTTTTTTTTTGAATGAATTTTATGTATTCGGAGTATTTGTTTTTTCGGTTTAGGGCATCAATAGGGAGAGCGGAGAACGCCAGTCGATCTGCGCCCGTAATCCTTGGTTTATTCAGTGTTTTATCTGGAATTTGTGGGTACCGGTGATGAAAAGGAGTGTATTTTGCTTACTAATAGCCTAGGGTTTCGTAGCCAGAGAAAACAGCAAAACAATGGGATTGTGAATTGAGTTTTGTTTACTCATTTTCATTTCAATGTTAATCTATTTAACGTGATTGCAAAATGAAAAAGGTATGCCTTTCTACGGTTACAGATTTTTCTGCGTGTTTACTTTTTGGAGAGATAGGATTGTAATATTGTATATAGAAGTCTTTTGTAACTTGGCCCGACCATGTAAGCTCATAAGAACGGCATGTAATCTGGAATATTCAAATATGAATACAATTTGTGAAACAAATATTCTACTACATCAAATTGAATTTCGTCAAAGGACTGTTTCGGTTGATAATTCTCATAAATATGCATTAAGGTATACATTTGCTCAACACACAGATCTAGTGCTAACTTTTCTCGAGCCATAACCACCCTACTTCAAGCTCATTTGCCATCAACCAATTATTAGATGATTTAGTTTTGAAGCCTGAGATCGATTACTTTGTCAAATAATGTGCTTGGATGAGTCAAAGTGATCCAAACCTGAGTTCATTTTACAGCCACCCATATATGAATATTATTAGCATCGGTCCTTTGTCTACTCTACATTTTAGAGGCTTCTCCTTTCAAATTATGTTCATTTTTCTATATATTTCTCTTGAAAAAGCTCTTAGTTGAGTTGGCTGGCAGTTTTATGTTATAGAGAGGCAGCCTTTAAAAATTCTAAATTGGGTATCAATATCATGACATTTTGCCTCCATGAGGCAAGGCATTTTGCCTTCTTATGGACACAGGCCTCAAAATATCACTTACTCCCACTTTGCCTTCATTATGTTTGTTTACATACCAAAAAATAGAGAGAATTTCCTATCTGCCCTGTCTTTTAGTTAAGTTCAGGAATTTTTAATGGTCGTTGTAAATTTTTCTGAGTTTTGCACCTCCAGTTGTATTAGTTATGACTTGGATCTGCTTTTCTCAAATTAAACAAATTATCCTCTTTGAAGTTCTGCTGGAAATAAATAAAGTTGGAAACCACATAGGGCTACATTTTGTTGCCTTGTTCGTAAATTGTTGTCATAGCTTAATGCTTGAGACTTTTATAAGGTGTCAAGTTTGTCTTGTGTCAACATGGAAACGGCATAGCCAACAGGAATTTATAAGGAGCCTGTTCATTTTTTGTGCTTGTGTACTGGTTCCTTGTTTCTTTATTGCTATTTGTTTTATGGAAACACATGGCTAATTGTAGAACAAAGTTTCTTTGTAAATTTTAAGGCCTTCTGAAGAAAGCGAAAGTCTCCTTCTGTACATCTATATCAATCAATTTATATGTATGTCAATGTAACATGTTGTTGGGCATTAAACTCTCAGGTTTCGCCCACACAGCTTTTGCTTTTGGGTACGAGGCTGGTATCAGCAAGAACCCTATTGATGGAAATTTGGTTCCACCAGAAGCTTTAATCAAATTCGTGCAGAAAGGAGTTCAATATATGGATATGGAAGCAAATTTGAACAATGTTAGCATATGCCTATTCCTGCTGAAAATTTTCGTTTGTCTTGATCTTTTGATCTGATTTTCTTTTTAATGAAGAGAAGGCATGTAAGTTGATTAATGTTTATTTCATTATGATCAGGCTGATGATGAGGACGAAGACTTCTCATTATTAAAACCTTTGGATCTCATCAGAAAAGATGTTAATGAACTGCATAAAATTGTAAAGGACAGGAAGAAAAACCAACAGGAGGCTGGGGGAAAGGAATTGGATAGAGGACATGAAGGAGAAAACATGCACAAGGAAGATAAGGACAAGGATGGAAAAAATATGGAGAAACAAGACATGGAAATAGAATGTGGAAATGACAAAGATAGAGTCGAAAATGATAGTAAGCGATTAAAAAAATGACATGAGCGATCAGAATAACTGAGGATAGCTTATTGATCAAGAACACAAGAAGCCGTCAAAACAAGAATAGGATCTCTTGGTGTAAAAACACTTATTGTTGTGTTTGGTAAGGTGGGCTGGATAATGCTAGATAGTATTGTTAAAATAATGTCTATCATATTGTGTAGTCTAGTATTGCATATTAAACATACTATTAGTTTAATACTCAATTGCACACCATATTCTTTTTTTCTTTTCTTTTTTTTCCCTTCATTCCCTTGAGTCTTTGGGTTGAGATTTGATGCTTGCTTTCTAATCTTTTTCAGTTAGGTGAATTTATTGTACAAATTTAATGCTTCTACATTTCATTTTGGCATTTTGGCTTTCTTATTTATGGGTTTTGGTTTCCTTTTTGTTATATGTTCATTGTTACAGTTTATCAGTCGATTCCCTAGATTTGAAGTTAATTTTTGAAGGACAAAGCTGAGGTTCGAGTATTTATATAATCTTTAATCCATTTGGATTATCATATCCTGTAGTGCATCTGTCAAAGCTGTGCACATTTCTTCTCTTGCAGGTTTGTTCTTGTACATAGAATCCATTAAGTGCCCTTCTTCCATTGTTTTTATCTTCAAATGATATGGGGATAGACTGAATGCTATTTTCAATAGTGATTTGGGAGCTCTGATTTTGTTCTTCTAGTAGATCATGAACAGTTTTCAGACATTCCTTGGTTCATTCTAGGAATGTAGGCAGAGCTTATGAATAAAATCAAAGCCATTGTCTTTAAAGATTATTCTTTCCTCAGCAAATTGGGCAGATAGCAAAAGAAACGGATGAGAAATGCTATTCACGTTGGAAATGAGAAACAACTTTTACGATTATTCTTTTCAACATCAAAATTTAGTAAAATTTTACATGCATCTCGACACTCCCACTTGTTCCCATTCCATAGATCCCTTTTAGGAATACCGTGGCACTTAAGGAAGCATGTGCGAACGGCGTGCGGATCAAAGACTTCCGTCATGCCTTTCAGAACCTGGCATTGATCGATAGAACAGTTAATAGTTACACATAATCACTTAATTCACAAGCATTCAGGACTATGAATCTTTATCTTTTTGCTTGTTTTCAACAGTTTTATTGCTTTATTGGCACATAGGGATTAGGACTTAATTCGTAACACGATAGAAAAGAAGGAACCCAATACGCGGTATAGCTATGCATGTAATGCAGAAAATTGAAAACAGAGAGAATCAGCAGCAGCATAAATAGAAGTGTGTGTTTCGTACACAATTTTAGACAAGATTAGATAATTCAATGAACAGTTTTAAAGTCTTATAGGCAATGGAATCCATGAAAATGATAAAAGCTGAAAGGCCAAAGGCTAAGGCCTAGCTCAAGTGGTAAAAGCATCGCCTTACCGGGTAGATGACTAGGGTTCGAGCCTCCTTTCTCGGAGGAACGGTGAAATACTTTAATCCCCTTTTTTTTCAAAAAAAAAATAATAATAATAATAAAATAAAATCTTACAGCCAATATGCACGTTGAATTCAATAGCTCAATTACTTATCATTGAAAGAGGATCATTCCCACCCCGGAACTACTTGTGTGGAATAGATGGAGGGATAGACTTTATGATATGTTGAATTCGACAGTCGCTAATAAGATTAAGAAAGAGATACATTTGAGATGTTTGTATGCTGATATGTCCAAGCTAGAAGAGAATGAGAAACCAACCAAAAACAGAGACTAAAGCACAAACTGCAACTTACAAGGTCTAAAATGAAGTTACTTTTAAGAACACATAAGCAAGCAATAAAGAGCTTCAGCTTTCTTAAAGAAGGTAGACCCATTAAATATTTTTCATTATAGAAATTTTTTGGATTGATTGTGAAAACTCCGATTACTAAAAGTAGATTTTTGGCAATATCGACATTGGAATATCCAAACTAATGTAAGCTGATGTAAATATAACAAAAAACCAATTAAATCAATATTAATTGAATTGCGTAGAGACTTGCATGCGTACAGATTATGGGAAATATAGATCCTCCTCAGGGGTATTCTTCAGCAAGGCGACTTGATGACAGTAAGTTGACCTGCATGAAGACTTCGTTTAAATACCTGTCGTAGAATTCATTTCGAACATTAAATAACAAAAAGATTAATTAAGTTCAAAAAGTTACATTAATAATCTCCCAGTGCCGGCTCGGTCGAACATATGCAGCTAGGACGGCCAAGTGAAAATGCTGTTTTTGATAAAGATTATATCAATATCTCGTATGTCAGATTATAAAAGGTAACAACGATTTTCATATGAAAGTATACTGTTAATTTCATCAACTTCTCGTCTCTCGTATTTTTGGGTTTAAAATTTGAACATTAGTATTGAAAAGAACGTACTCTAAAGGGATCACTCCTCAAGGATTGCACAAAAATTGAGCTCGCCAAGCCATCATCCTGGAAAGGAACAAATGAACCAACTTCTTCATAACAACTTTATATAATGAATTTTGCTAAAATATACTTGGGAAGATTTCAAATTCGGAAATTGTTGAAAGAATAATAAATCTACCTCCAAATAAATATTTCTAAGTAGCCTTCCAGTTTGGGCACAACAAACACGGACAACTGGTTCTTCACAACTTCCACTAATGATGTAGTCTCTCCCATTCATGTAATAAGAACGAGTGTAGTTATTATAGCTGCCTGTCGAAACTATATCAAATTTTGTGTGAAGCGTCCCATCCACAGCAAAAAGTTGTCTGACCTGGAAAGCACGTCATCTCGATAACTAGCCTTGATCTTTAAGTCATTAAAAATGCGAGTAATTTTTTGTTTTTAACTTTGACAGTTCACAATAGGTATAAAAAATGTAGTTGTAGAAATATACCTCATTATCTACAGAAGAAACAAGTAGATAAAGATCATCATGAGAGAAGCAGACCATTACGTTTCCTCTTGAGCTCGATGCTGTATAGCAAGGTTTTATGGGTTTCTGTCTTAAATCCCACATCTTCACATCTCGGTCAAATGATGAAGTAACCATCAGATTAGGGGAATGATTTGCAAATTTAGCAACATTTATTGGTTCACGATGCATATCCGTGAACAGTTGTAAACGTTTTCCACTGCAAATATCATATATGGCAACTTTCTTCGAATATCCACTTGTTAGAAATTGATCATCCGCTGAATTAACATGAACCGAAGTCAAATGCTCAAAATCTTCAAATATAACTGTACTGGGATTGCAATAGCCATCTTCGACTTCTTGTGGTAGATGATTGATGTCGTACAATCTCAAGGAACCATTGTCAGAGCCCACAAGGAGCTAGTATTACGAAAAACAGTATAAATTATCAGCAATCACCTGATAAAAATATGAACGGACAAAAAGAAGTTCATAGGCTTTGGAATAGAAAACATAAAAATCATATAAACGGACCCCCCTTAGATGCAATGATATCATCCATAAAACACAAACCAAGGATGCATCCTATATTTAGTGATCGAATAAAACTTCCAATACAGTTTATCTAGTTCCTGAGCTAATGACATACCTTGGAAGGGTCATTTTTGAGCCAACAGAGCCCCAAAATACTATTAGAGTTCCACTTGGACGAAATATGATCGATAATATTTCGAGTCTCAGGATTGAGGAGAACCACTTCTCCATCAAGAGTTCCAACCGCCATAAGACTAGAGATGGACGGATGATACTCAAATTGCCTTGGACGCAACCTCTTTCCTTCTTCTCTGTTTTTCTGGCTGACGTTAGTGATGGGATGTAGAAGTGGCTGCATGGATGAATCAAATTTACTAGTGCACAGCGACTTCGTATAGAAACACTGACTCTTTCTACAAGACGATGTCAATTTTGTTCTTAAATGATTGTGAGGATACATCCCACTTGTTCCCGCTTCACGCATATGCAAGATGCTGATAATGCTCTCCTTGTGCTGGCGCTTATATGGTAAGTACTCATAGTGTTTTGAGAAGAAAGTCTTCTCCACTTTTCTGTCTGCTTCTTTTATGGGAAAATTATCCATATTTTCTAAACAAGGTATTGGTTCAATCATACTCTCACTGTTTTGTTTCTCAAAGTCGACCATCAATGGATGCTTAGACGTCTGTAATTTGTAATCTGTTGAATCCCATTGGAGTACACTTGTTGGAGACTCATCTTTCTCTTGAACATCCAAATGCCCTGGAGAGACCTGACACATGAAAAAGTAACCTGTCAATAACATATAGTAAGGTTTTTGATATATAGCAATACGATGAATTATATAGCTTGTTTCCGACCTCGATTTTCAGATTTTCCTGTCTATTCGAATCATGACAAGGAACTGAAAAGAGTGCCTTGTCTAATTTGCTAACTGAAGCCCCCTGAAACATGCTTCGAGCCTCTTTAATAGTAAATGAACCACCAGAAGGCAGAAGTTGGGGAGATTCATCCGCACCAGTAGTTTGTTTGGTGAAATGACGGCCACTAGTTGGCTCACTGATTTTACCGGAGGTAATACATCTTCTCTCATTGATTAGTGCAGGACACGACCATGTGTCTTTCTTGGGCGTACAATTATGAAACTGGAGTTCTACCAATGGGGAAAGTCTGGAGAAAACAGCACTAGTTGTATTTGTCCCGAGATTAATAACTCTTGTACCACACAGTGAGAGGCACCTGAGTTTTGGCATGGAAGCAAAACATTCTTCCTCAAGGTTAACGAGAGAAGAACAGGAGTTCAAAATAAGAGTGCGCAACTGCGTGAATTTTCCTACCATATCCAGTTTTTTGATCCATAAACTCCTAACGTTTAGTAATTGGCAATTTAAATCACCCCGGATGAGATTCCTGTAAAATGAAAAATAAAAACATGTATTGCTCAGGGGCTACATTTATCAAATAGATGAGAAAATTTCTGTTCATAAAAGTCGACTTTGCACATTTATTGTTAAATTGAGATGACCATCTTAAAACAAGAAGAGGAGGGCGGTGAATAACAGCTTGGAAAGGGAAAGTAATAGTGCATACCAAACTATATCCTTCCTAGATGACAAATCGCAAAGGTCAACAACTAGGAGTTTTGAATTGAATGCAAGCGTCGAAGAGGAAATGAGTTCTTGGTTCGATGCATGGGGAGATTTATAAAGAACAAGGGTTGCATCAACCTCAAAGGAGTTTAATCCAGCAATAGCATCAACAAGGGAACAGATATCAGCAGCATCATGTAGGTTAAGTAAAACGACTAAATGAGACTTCTCGGCTAAGGCTTCCTGCATTATGGCCTGTAATGAAATAAAAAGAAAAGGGGAAAGAGAAAACTCAGCCATCAGAATTTAGAATAAAAATCACACCTCCTTAATTGAATTTATGTTATCTTCATAGAATCTTAAAGCCATTAACAGATGTTGATACATACAAGTATACCAATCATATTCATGTACTTTTAAGAGCGAAATGTGGCAGATACGTATCCACATATGATGTAAATGGTATATTGTCCATAAAATGAATTATAATGCGAAATTAAAGTGTCTTCAGTGATTACTAAAAGCAAAAATGAGACGACCTGACGCAAAGATAAGACTGCAGAGTAGGATAGCACCTCGTGCCTCTTCACGACTCCAGATATCGTGAGACGATACTGAAATATAAAGTTGGTTAATAAAGAGTTCTACATTAAACTTCTCTAGCAGAAGACCTCACCAATCTAATAAAAAAGGCGAGTACATCGAAACAGGAACGGGCATTCTTGTGCTTGTGAAAACATTATTATTGATAAAAAGATAATTATAAGCCAATTATTAACAAGAACATTACCTTAACTACTACAAATTATTGGAACCAATTAATAAGTAATTGTTCTTGTGGTGGGATCTTATTACAACTATTGATTATTAGTATATGAACACAGGTTCAGCTCAGTGGTTATGCAATACCCACCACCCTTCATTTGATCAAATAATTATTAGTATAAAAATTTAAAAAGAGTATCTGATTCTTCAAAAATTGTAAAAATCTGTCAAAAATCATTCCTTCAAATGTGTGAAAGGAGTAATTTTCCCTCTGCTACCAGATCAATTGTGGAAAAACGAAAATCAAAATTGAAAATTGACTAGCTAGTCAGATATACAAAGTGAATCCTTAAAACTAAATTTCAAACAGTTCAAAGAACTCAATTAACAAATAATCCAAATACTTAAGATCTTTTAGTTGATTTAAACAAGGCATGCACAGTAACTTTAAAAAACTGTGAAAGCTTGCAGAAGAAACTTTTTTTTTGTGAAATTTTTTTCCATGGGAACTTCTTTTCTTGAAAACCCAGTTATTAATTTTTCTCCATTTTCAAAACATATCACCAAAAAATTAAAAAGGCAAGCAAAAGGTAGACTGTCGGTTGGCACATTTTCTTTCAGAGAAAAAGCAAAATTCCACACAAAAGTCGAAACATACACACACACATACATAGAGAGAGAGGACGAAGAGAGAAACCTGTATTCAGAATTTGAGATTTCAAGACACATGGTTGTCTATACTAGCATTTACAGTGAAAATGAAGAAATGCTTCAGAATTTCAATAACATCCAGTGGTGAGGTAAAGGAGAGAGAAAAAGAATTTATAAGTGAAAATCGTATCTATGAAACTTTCATAATGAACGGCTGCAGATAAGCACGGCACTATGTACGTATTGCAGACAAATAATTGTGCAAAAATTCTTGCACTAAGCTATCAAGCTGTGAGTATAAAGTTAGACCCCACCTCCTTTTTATCGAAATACATTTTACTCTCTCTTTTTTTAAACACATATTTTTTAATAAAATAATATTATATTCAAATCAAAAACTTTTTTTTTATTTTTTATCCATACATTCTTCATCAATTCACTATTCTAAACTTTATTTTTCCATAAAAAAAAAAATTGGGTGTTAAACATCCTCTAAGGTTTGTAAAAGCAAGAATTAAAAAAAAAAGTAAGAACCAATTATTTTTTTGCATTAAATTCTTGCACATACGTATTACTTAGCCCCTATATGATCGCCATTATTTCTTAAATAAAAAAAAAAGGTAAGAACCAATTATTTTTTGGCATAAATTCTTGCACATACGTATTACTTAGCCCCTATATGATCGCCATTATTTCTTAAAAAATTAATAATTTAAATATTAATTTTTGAAAAATATGTGATTAAGAGTAAGAAGAATTTTGAAATTACATATAAAATATTTTATTGCGTGAATATATAGTTAAAATGAGTATGAAAATTAAAATATTTTGAAATAATGGTTGTCAAGAAGTGATTTTGACATGTTCAAGGAAGAATCTAAAGCAACTATTTCCGCATTTTAAATTAAATTTGGATCACAAAGGCACCTCATTGGAGTGGAAAATTTAGGTGGGAACATAATGGATAAGATCACAGACCTAAGATCTCTTTCATAATAATTTCTATGCCTCCGTTTGTTTTTCATTCTTTCTCCATTAAAATGAAAAATATAATCGTTATTCATTACATTAAAACATCAAATTTGAATTTCTATCTCTTGTGTGGAACCCGTAACGACTATATTTTTCGTTTTCATTCTCACAAAAATGGAAATCAAACAGGGACATTCCATATGGATGGACCACATATCCATGGGGACCAAAAAAACACCAACATTGTCAAAGATTTTAATTTTGGATCTAACTCTCTCATATTTTCATTCTCTCATCGGATCAAGAAACCCTTTTTCCAAATATATTTTATTGATTTGAATTTCATTTTTTATTAATAATTTTGAAAATTACTTTTTGTATTATACCTTCGTAACTTCTGTGTGATCATAGTCACAGCTTCTTTGCCGTGTGTTTGAGCCCAGTTTTTGCAGAATTCTCGTTTTCATTCAAACTATATGGGACCTGTGAAAAGTAATCGGAAACATTAATGTGTGTCCCCAAAATACCTCCGTCATACACTTTGCAAGAGCAATTTTCTGTCAATTGAAGGGTAAAATTGAAAAACATAGGATGCAATAATTGAATCAGACTGTAACATTCATAGAAACTGGAGAATGTACGAAAATTAGCAAAATTTACTGTTTAAAGCCTGTTTGGGAGGGATTTTTTACCCAAAAAAATTGATTTTTTAGCATTTATTTCACTATTCTACCCGTAAGTTTTCACTTCTTTTCTCACGGTTGGACCCCACTTTTCTTCTAACGGTCAAAAAATCAATTCTCAAAATCTCTCCCAAACGGGGCCTTAGTAGTGGTTATGAGAATTGATTTTTTTATCGTTAGAGAGAAAAGTAAATCCCGTCTGTGAGTGAAGAAGTCAAAAATAACATTTGAAATAGTGAAATAACGGTTAAAAAATTAATTTTTTAAATGAAAAATTGCTATCAAATGAGGACTAAAAATGATACTTTGAACCGGACCAAACAAGGGCTTAAGAATATTCTAGAGATCTACTTATTTTACATGAAGCGTGAAAAACTTTGTAAAGACGAGTAAAATTACAGTAGGTACAATTATTGCTATACTATACCACGTGGTTTTTGTGCTAGAATTTTTCTTTAGGTACAGTGAATTTGTCACAAAGGAACCTGCTGTGGCACAATCCTGTCTGTCAATTTTTTTTTTCAATTTTTTCGTCTGTCAATGCTGTTTCTACACATGTTGTCTGTGAAAAAAATCTTGTGAAGAATCTCTGTACGTGTAGTAGAATTCTTTGTGCTAACTTATTTTCAAGAATAATGCTTGTGGTACAATGCCGTGTCCAACGAAGACACACGGCATCTCGGGATTGGCCGAGGCGCCCGTGGGCCCGGATGTGACAGGCTCCTCGGCCAATGTCGAGGTGTCGTGTGTCCACGTTAGACACGACATTGAACACCGCATTGTACCCGTAGCATAACCCTATTTTAAAACATATATTTACGTTAATATCTAGCAATTTAATGACTTGTAACGGCTACATGTGACGTGCACTTAATGTCTCAATAATTTGTCCATTTGTCTTTGATTCAACATTTATTTACTTATTTATTCAATAATTATATTTAATATTAATTTCTCTAGTGTTTAATTTCACGTCAAGTTTACTGTTAAAATATTTTTTAATTAAAAAGATAGGCTTATTGGTGCAGTTATTACCAAGACAAGAAACCATATGGTTGAAAAGTCAAATGCGGCTAACAACGAAAAGTCAAACTAGTTAGTAGAAATTAAAATCCAACATATGCTTGAACATTAAATGTGACTTCTATAGCAAAACACCAGCCACCAACCGAGTTAAAAGTTTCATTTTTAATTTAACATATACATTCATCATATTTCACTTGTTGAAACTTTAAAATGTTTTCGAACGATCACCGAACTTTAACAATTTGCACTCTGTCATTCACTCATTCACCATATTTTACTAGTTACTGGACTTTAAAATGTTTTTGAGTAGTCATTGAAATTTTAACATGCTGCAATCCATGACTCACCATGTTTTATTAGTCGTCGAACTTATACAATCGTCACACTTTACTCACCGAATTTGAAAATACTTGCAAGTGGTCACTGCACTTTATTTACCGAAGACAACTATTAAAAAATTGAATACTTTGAAGTATAAAATATCAAACACGAAGACGACGTCCTTCTTTCCTCCTGAATTATCTTGTGGCAACTCTAAAAAATATATTTTGTTAGTCGTGATTAATATCATTGACTCTAAATCAAAAATTTCATTGCGTGTTTGAGATATAATTTTTTATGTTCTTAATTTGGGTCTATAATTTCAATCAAAATAAAACAATAATTTCTCTATTTTGTTCTCTTGAGGTAATGAAATATTATGATATAAATTGGGTTAATTATGCTAATAGTCACTGAACTTTGTAAAAAGTTTCCAATGAATTACTGAACTTTAAAAATCATCTAAATGGTCATTGAACTTTACAAAAGATTTCCCAAAAGTTATTGAACTTTAAAAATCACTTAAATGGTCACTGAATTTTGCAAAAAGTTTCCCAAAGATCACTGAACTTTCTAACCACTAAACCACCTTAGAGCCACCACTTATGGATCACCAAAATCCACTCTCCAACCACCTTGGCCGCCGGACCAACATACCACCATGAAGTCCTCGCTTCCCTCTTCGCAACCCACCCAAACTCCGGCCATAACACCAACCGATTTGGCCGAAAACTCAACCTAAAATGGGATGACTAAGCACAAAAAATGGCCAAAAATGTTAGTCACCACTTTTGGATCACCAAAACTCTACCCCTCGGCCACCTTGGCCGTTGGACCAACATACCACTTTGAAGCCCTCACTTCCCTCTTCGCAACCTACCCAAGCTCCGACCATAACACCAACCGATGCGGCCGAAAATCCAAGCCAAAATGGGCAGCTTGGATCATTAAAAATGAAGATTCCGGCCATTTTTTGTGCTTTCGACTGCCATTTTGGTTTGAATTTTTTAGGTTATTTCGTGGGGATTAAAATTAAAATTCAAACAACAGAAACTCAAATTAATAATATTAGGTTGTTTGGTGGGGATTAAAATTAAATTTTTAGAAAATTTTGATTGAAAATTTTGAAATGTATGGTTAAAAAATTTTGGGACCTATAAAAATGTGAATAATATTGATTGCTTGATTTAACTCCCACCAACCATATCATTAATTGCTTCACAAAAACATCTTCATGCAAAGATAAAAATATTTAAAAAAAATAAAAATACACTGAGTTGGATGAAAGTTGAAAACTCAAAATTCAAACAACAGAAACTGAATCAACGAGTGTGATTTACCGGCCAAACATGGTGGTAGCCTGATTCATTTGCTTGCCATTAGAAATTCGTAAAAGATGGAAATAAGTGTGAATCTAAAGTTGAATCATTTGATGAAAATTCTGTCTTTAAGCTTCTTTTAGCAGAAACAAAAATTGAAGCCAACAAAAAGCTCCGTATAATTGTAAACAATGGCCTAAAAGCCCTCCACTTGTCTTGATTCCGTGCCATTCAAAACCAAAAGATTTCCATTTTTGAGTCCCACAAGAAAGCTTATTTAAGATAGTTTGGAGCTCTGGATTCAAAAGGTTTCTTTCTTTATTTGTATAATTATTGATTTTCGCTGGTGTAAAAAGAAACAAAAAATGTATAGGTGGGAAATATTTTTTTAGAGGGTCAACGCAGAAATGAAAAGGTAAGAAATCTGTGTTTTGGTTTGCTGGTGGGGAGGGTTGGCGCGAGGATGGGACTGGAGAAGAAGATGAAGTTTTGAGGGTAGGGGTGAGGTTGGGGATGGGATTGAGATTGAGATTGGCATTGGGATTGGGCAGGAAGACGATGTTTTAGAGGTGAGACTTTGAGTGGTACAAATGAGCCCCCGTTTGGTCCGTTATTTGGAAATGAAAAGGTGTAGAATGATATTTTTATGAAAAATAAGTGGTAAAAAAAAAAAAAAAAATTCGTTTTACAGGTAATATTATTTTATGAAAGATTATGTGGTTCAAAATAAAAAAGAAGAAAATGAAATGAAATTTAATATAAATCAAACAGGGGCTAAAAAAACTTTAGTATAATTTATAAAAAAAATATAAAACACTTTGAGCTATAAATGTAAAGAAATTGTTGTGAAGCTCGGACTACAGCCCCTTCACAAGTGGGGGGG